CCTTCCTTCTTCTTTTTTTCCTTCCTTCCTACCCTTTTTCTTTCTTTCTTTCTTTCTTTCTTTTTCTTTTTTCCTACCTTTCTTTTGTCCTTTTCTTTCCTTTCTTTCTTTCCTTCTTCCTTTCCTCATTTCTTTCCTTTTTCATTTCTTTCTTTCTTTCTTTCCTTTTTCCTTCCTTCCTTTTTTCCTTCCTTCCTACCCTTTTTCTTTCTTTCTTTCTTTTTTCCTACCTTTCTTTTGTCCTTTTCTTTCCTTTCTTTCTTTCCTTCTTCCTTTCCTCATTTCTTTCTTTCTTTCTTTCTTTCCTTTTTCCTTCCATCCTTTTTTCCTTCCTACCCTTTTTCTTTCTTTCTTTCTTTTTTCCTACCTTTCTTTTGTCCTTTTCTTTCATTTCGTTCTTTCCTTCTTCCTTTCCTCATTTCTTTCTTTCTTTCTTTCTTTCTTTCCTTTTCCTTCCTTTTTTCCTTGCTTCATACCCTATTTCTTCCTTGTTTTTTTCTTTCTTTCTTTCCTTTTTCCTTCCTTCCTTTTTTCATTCCTTCATACCCTATTTCTTTCTTTCTTTCTTTCTTTTTTCCTACCTTTCTTTTGTCCTTTTCTTTCCTTTCTTTCCTTCTTCATTTCCTCATTTCTTTCCTTCTTTCTTTCTTTCTTTCTTTCTTTTTCTTTCCTTTTTCCTTCCTTCATACCCTATTTCTTCCTTCTTTCTTTCTTTCTTTCTTTCTTTCTTTCTTTCTTTCTTTCTTTCTTTCCTTCCTTCCTTCCTTCATTCCTTCTTTCCTACTTTCCTTCTTTCTTACCAATATGAGAATTTTAAAATGATTAATATCATGTGTCTAAACTTTTGACTGAAATGAACAGTATTAAGAAAAAAATTAATATATCTGTGCTGTTGAACATTTTGCCATTTCTAACTTTATTTTCAGAATGTGTGTATTTTTGATAATTAATATATAATTAATTAAAATGAATTACAAAAATTATATCAAAATTTATATATATATATATATATATATATATATATATATATATATATATATATATATGTGTGTATTAAAATATAATGAAATGAATTATATTTATATATAGTTATTTTGTGTTTGGCCCCATGTAATATTTATACTGTATGCTGTTCTCACTCACGCTTTTCTTTTCACAAGCAACACAGTGCATCTTATTAAGTTGGCTTGAGAAAGCCAACTTACTGAAATCCTATTTAAACTTATTATTATTCTTCTTCTTTTTCTTACTCAAAAATTTCTGACTGCTACTCCTCCTAGAGCTTTAACTCTACAAACTCCAAACTCGGGTCAGACCTTCAGACTGTTCTGACTCGAGTTGCTATATCTTTTTAGACTGATTCGACTTTCAGGTTTCTTAAAAATTAATATTAAAAATCATAAAAATCCCATTGACTTTCATTGCAGCATGGTCAAATTGAGCCAAGACTACGGTGGCCCAATAGCGTACAACAAAAACTCAAATCTAAATTCCCTGAAGCCCTAGACTCAATTAAACTACCATTCTATATGAACTAATGAACTATCTATCTATCTATCTATCTATCTATCTATCTATCTATCTATCTATCTATCTATCTACCTACCTAATCTTTCTTTCTTTCTTTCTTTCTAACTAATCTATCCATCTTTCTTTCTAACAAATCTATCCATCTTTCTTTCTAACTAATCTATCCATCTTTCTTTCTAACTAATCTATCCATCTTTCTTTCTAACAAATCTATCCATCTTTCTTTCTAACAAATCTATCCATCTTTCTTTCTATCAAATCTATCCATCTTTCTTTCTAACAAATCTATCCATCTTTCTTTCTAACAAATCTATCCATCTTTCTTTCTAACTAATCTATCCATCTTTCTTTCTAACAAATCTATCCATCTTTCTTTCTAACAAATCTATCCATCTTTCTTTCTAACTAATCTATCCATCTTTCTTTCTACCTAACAAATCTATCCATCTTTCTTTCTACCTAACAAATCTATACATCTTTCTTTCTAACTAATCTATCCATCTTTCTTTCTACCTAACAAATCTATCCATCTTTCTTTCTAACTAATATATCCATCTTTCTTTCTACTTAACAAATCTGTCCATCTTTCTTTCTAACAAATCTATCCATCTTTCTTTCTAACAAATCTATCCATCTTTCTTTCTACCTAACAAATCTATCCATCTTTCTTTCTAACAAATCTATACATCTTTCTTTCTAACTAATCTATCCATCTTTCTTTCTACCTAACTAATCTATCCATCTTTCTTTCTAACAAATCTATCCATCTTTCTTTCTACCTAACAAATCTATCCATCTTTCTTTCTACCTAACAAATCTATCCATCTTTCTTTCTAACAAATCTATCCATCTTTCTTTCTACCTAACAAATATATCCATCTTTCTTTCTAACAAATCTATCCATCTTTCTTTCTAACTAATCTATCATCTTTCTTTCTAACTAATCTATCCATCTTTCTTTCTAACTAATCTATCCATCTTTCTTTCTAACAAATCTATCCATCTTTCTTTCTACCTAACTAATCTATCAATCTTTCTTTCTAACAAATCTATCCATCTTTCTTTCTATCAAATCTATCCATCTTTCTTTCTACCCAACTAATCTATCCATCTTTCTTTCTTACTAATCTATCCATCTTTCTTTCTAACAAATCTATCCATCTTTCTTTCTATCAAATCTATCCATCTTTCTTTCTACCCAACTGATCTATCCATCTTTCTTTCTAACAAATCCATCCATCTTTCTTTCTAACAAATCTATCCATCTTTCTTTCTAACAAATCTATCCATCTTTCTTTCTAACAAATCTATCCATCTTTCTTTCTAACAAATCTGTCCATCTTTCTTTCTATCAAATCTATCGATCTTTCTTTCTACCTAACTAATCTATCCATCTTTCTTTCTAACAAATCTATCCATCTTTCTTTCTAACAAATCTATCCATCTTTCTTTCTACCTAACTAATCTATCCATCTTTCTTTCTAACAAATCTATCCATCTTTCTTTCTAACTAATCTATCCATCTTTCTTTCTACCTAACTAATCTATCCATCATTCTTTCTACCTAACTAATCTATCCATCTTTCTTTCTACTTAACTAATCTATCCATCTTTCTTTCTAACAAATCTATCCATCTTTCTAACATCTTTCATGATGCTAGCTACATGCTAATCATGCTAGCTTCTTGCTAAAAACATGCTAGCATGATGCTAGCAACATGCTAATCATGCTAGCATGATGCTAGCTACATGTTAATCATGCTAGCTTCTTGCTAAAAACATGCTAGCATGATGCTAGCTACATGCTAATCATGTTATTTTGATAATAGCTACATGCTAATCATGCTAGCATGATGCTAGCTACATGTTAATCATGCTAGCTTCTTGCTAAAAACATGCTAGCATGATGCTAGCAACATGCTAATCATGCTAGCATGATGCTAGCTACATGCTAATCATGCTAACGTCTTGCTAAAAACATGCTAGCATGATGCTAGCAACATGCTAATCATGCTAACATGATGATAGCTACATGCTAATCATGTTAGCTTCTTGCTAACAACATGCTAATCATGCTAGCATGATGCTAGCTACATGCTAATCATGTTAGCTTCTTGCTAAAAACATGCTAGCATGATGCTAGCAACATGCTAATCATGCTAGCATGATGCTAGCTACATGCTAATCATGCTAGCTTCTTGCTAAAAACATGCTAGCATGATGCTAGCAACATGCTAATCATGCTAGCATGATGCTAGCTACATGCTAGTCATGCTAGCTTCTTGCTAAAAACATGTTAGCATGATGCTAGCAACATGCTAATCATGCTATTATGATGCTAGCTACATGCTAATCATGTTAACAACATGTTAATCATCTTAACTACATGCTAATCATATTAGCATCAAGCTAGCTACATGCTAATCATGTTAGCTTCTTGCCAAAAACATCTATCTATCTATCTATCTATCTATCTATCTATCTATCTATCTATCTATCTATCTATCTTTCTTTCTTACTAATCTATCTTTCTAACTAATCTATCCATCTTTCTTTCTTTCTTTCTTTCTTTCTTTCTAATTCCATCTTTAAAACTTCATTCAAACTTCAAGATTCTTCAAACGCTCTGGTCTGGCTTTCTCAAGCCAACTTAAAGTTTGTGTCATCAAACTTTTTTTTCTAGTTTTTAATTGTGAGTGCACTTCCACGAGAGGTGCTGATAAAGACAGAAACTCTCAGGGTTTGCATGACTGACTTGATTCACACACCTCATTTAGTTAAATGTGAAGATGAAGGGATGAATCACTGTGATGAAGAGCACTGTCGGATCTGTACGCTCGGCTCCAGTGTGGAAACAGTCATCTCTGAGACCAGTAAATGATCAAATCCCTCGTTCGGCCAGCATTGGAGAGGAGGGACCTGTGGATAAGTGTGTGTCCTCTCTGCTGGCATCCCGAGATGGTGTGTGTGGACGAGTGGAACGGACACCACCCGCACTCGTTCACTCCTCCCCGACTCCTTTCACATGCTGAGGCTGTTGTTCTCCGCTCTCCTCCCCCTCTTTCAGAGAAGCCCTGGAGTGGAGGTCCATGTTCCCCACACCATCTGCTCTCAGAAACTTGAGATGCCCGTAAAAAAAGGAAAACGGTCGAAAAGAAAGAAAATAGCCAAGCAGATGCCATCTTGACAAAGCAGGAAGCTTGTTTAATTTAGATGCTTTCTTGAGTGCCAGTGTCTCCGATCTCCGGCAGAATCCATATTTTTGCATTTCTGTTTCTTTCCTGACTGCTTTTCACATCGAAACGCCTCACATTAATTGGCGTTAACTGCATAATGGCTAATTTACGTGAGCGTCGTTCACATCCGTCTCCATCAGAGGGGTTTCTGCTTCAGGAATGGCATGCTATCAGCTTATCAATGTCATGTTTGCTGATGCTTGACTCTGCATGTAATATGTCCTCATTTCCCAGGTTCCCTCAGCGGCAGCACGAGCGCTGACCTCAGTGTTACCGCGATGACCGTCGACTCCGGTGACCAGGTCTCTCCGACGATACCGCGCGCATCCAAACACCGTGTGTCCGGGAAGCTCCGCCGCTCGGCCAGCGCCATCAGCAAATCCTCAAACTGAACTCGGCGTCCTTAAACAACGTGCTTGAATGTATTATCTGACTGGAATGTGACTTTTATTTGTGAGATGCAACTGTCACTATATTATGTAAATGACGTGCGGAAAGAAAAACCAAGAGAATCATTTATTCGGAAGAAAAGGACTTTCATAGAAACGCCGCATTCAGAAGTCAAATAAAACGTTTGAAAAACACTCACTTTACTTCATGTCAAACACTGGTGAACGTGGGAGAGACTTTGGTGTCGTCCCAGCACTGAGACGCTTTTTTGCCAGTCTGAGAGAACACTGACGCTCTCGAATCATGGAAAGAGAGAGCGTCAGCTTTTACTACTTTAATAACGTGTAACCAGTGACGTCTTTCAAAGCAATGAAATCATGTTTTCTTTTCTTTCTTCGCGTTATAATTACTTTTAAGCAAGTGCTTTGATTGTTTTATGGCATTGATTTATGAAAAGGCACCTGCCGTTTGTGATTGGGTCGAGGTGTAGCATGAATGTGCTTCTTAATTTGGGATTTGAACCCGTTCCTGTCACGTGAATCGACTCTAACATTCCAATGTTTTTGCACTCTCAGTGGTGAAGATGCCGTCGCTTCTTCTTTTCTTCCCTCTGTGTTTGGATGTACTGTACGTTGCTTTCATTTTGATTTGATTTGATGATATACTTGTGTCATGTTGTACATACAGAGGAGGCGCCTCAGGTAAAGCCCAACTCTGGCTGTGAATGAAGGGATCCTCACGGTGCAACTGGGACCAGTCTGTAGGCTTTTTCTTTGTGTTTCCCCTCCGCAACTTTAATTGATCCCACACTTCCTGACGAGAGAAAGATCCGCGCGAGTAAATTGAATGAGATTGTCTGTTTGGTGAGAGCTGCTTCTGTGTGATTAGATGCTGGATGGGGGATCTTTTCCACCTGCTTCCCCGATTCCCACGTGCCTCTCCGAGTGCCCTTTACCATACCAGCAGCATCTCTCTCTCTCTCTATATATATATATATATCTCACTCTCTCCCTTTCTCTATCTCTCTCGCTCGCCAACGCCCTGACGCCGTAGAGACCGGCCTGGTTGCCACGGAGACCAGGTGTCACACACTGCAAGCTCCGCCCACGCTGCAACAGGACACGTGTTGCGCCACTTTGCCTTACCTGAACACTTGTCTTTAAGCCGGACACTTTCCCCCTCTCTTCCAAACGCTAAGTAACATAGGAGGCGTTCTCTGAGTGCACCGAATGATGAAGCTGACGAATGTATGCAAACGGGCTGAAAATACTGCAACTAGCCCCACTTCTGTTTGAGAACGATGCGTTCATTGTAGACTTTGTTGTTAGCCTTGTATATTGTGTCTCTTTTTTTCTTGTTTTTGTTTTTTGAATGTTCTAAATTCTGAAGGATATAAATATAATAATGCCTGTAATATAATCTTTGTAAAAGACATTGGATAAGGAAGCTTGAAGATTTCATCATGACTTGTTAACATATCAGACTGTTTTTAATAGAAAAAAGTAATCGCTTTATCTTTACTAGAAATGTGAAGAAGTCGAAACATTTCATTAAATCGATTTGAAGTTCATGTTTGGATGCGTTTGTTTGCTCTGTTCACGCTAGTCGCCATGACGTCAGTAGCGTCCTGCGAGGTTATGTTGTATTTAAACAATGTTTCTGGTTATTTTAACCACTGATTTGTACCAAAACATGTCACTGCGAAACTACACTGGGGATTTACTGTAAAACACACTCCGATATTATTTGTTTTAATTGCCACTTTGAAAAGGTCATTTCTTACAGTGTGTTTAACCCTTGTGCATCCTTGTGGACATTTTTGTCCTTTTCAGTTTTGTTTTTTTGATCACTTTGCCTGTGTTAAAGCTAACTGCAAAAAACTTGCCACAGGTGTGTATTTTTATTGGAATTTTACTATTTCACCGTCATTTTCTTAAAAAAATATTTTTTTGCATTAGGTACGAAAAATACTCCCTCTCAGCCTCTTTTGGACAAAAATGTCCCCATTGAAACCCATTAAAACTGCCATTTTTAATCCCCGGTTCAGTTAACTATAAAATTATGCAATCTTTGTTAAGAGGCTTTCATTCTGATGGCAAGGCTTCAAAATTTTATTTTTGACTATTTTTTTATCAGATGGTGTCATTTTTTTAAAGTTTGGCCTATAAAACAAATGTCGCTTTATTCCTGTTTTCTGGTTCGGCATACTATAGAGTCAACTGGATAAATTATGCAACAATATTTGTGTGGGTGTGTTGGTATGGATGTCAGAGTGTGGTTAGTATGTGTGTTATAAAAAAATATGTGTGTGTGTGCGCATGTGTGTGTTTATAATACTGAGAGAGAAAAACTGCAAATTCAAATCCAATCACTGTGAGCTCCAGTGGGGTTTTGCTGGGACCCAATGGGGAAAATATGTTACTACGCCCAAACAAACTGTTACCGAAAGCTCATTTTTTGAGATATCATCATCAAATTTGGAACACAACCTATTTAGATTTATGGCTTTGATTTTATTGTAGTTTTGAGTTCAACCTGATTTAAAATATATATATTTTATATAAAATATTATTTTATAAATAATTTTCATAAACTTATACCTATATAACTTTTTTTTTGGATTTACTTATTATTATTTTGTTTACTTCAGCAATAATCTGCAAAGGGTCTTCTTTAAAATGATACCAAACTTAAGTCTGTGCTCCAAAGCGTCACATTTTTATGACAGTTTTTTGACATGGACATTTTTGTCCTCTTTTTACCTATGTGTAAATTTTTTTAATTGATGCACAAGGGTTAAAGAGATATTCACCCACAAATGGAAACTCATCATTTACTCACCTTAATGCCGTTCCAAACCTGTATGAATGTCTTCCGCTGAACACAACAGAAGATATTTTAAAGAATGTTGGTCAAATATCACACAGTTGACGGTCGCAGTTGAAAAAAAAAACGTTTTGGTTTCAAACATTCTCCGAAATATCTTGCTTTGTGTTCTACAGAGGAAAGAACTTCATAAATGTTTTTGGAACAACTTGAGAGTGAGTGAATGATGACACATTTTTTTTCATTTTCAAGTAAAATGAGAAACGAGTAATTAAAAGTGGTATGTAAAAGCTGCCCAGTTACACCAAATAAAATGTTATTTGACATAGTTATTGGACATACTATTTGCCAAATACCCACAATTTGAATTGGCTATACACCCTCTACACAAAAATTGAAATGTTCCAAACCTGTTGGCATTTTTTAAGTCTCAGTGTTTTATATATACACACAATGCCACTGAAGAACTGTTTATACATCTGTCTGAAACCTTCCATGACTGCTCTTGTGAGAGAATGCGTGCACATATTGTGTGTTGGAGCGAGTGTGTGTACTTGATGCTCGGGGTTAGAGGTTGTTGTGTTGCTGGAGCTGAGGGAGTATGAAGGTAACCTGACTCTCGTCCCATCTGTCTCTCCTGCTGCTCCATGAGTCTCTGAGTACAGGTGCACACGCTCCAACACCTCACACACACACACGTTTAATTACTGACTGTGTGTGTGTGCGTTAAACCTGACCAAAACTCTTTTAACGATTTCTTTTTTTTTTTTTTTTTACATATACTTTCAATTTGCAGAACACAGTGAGAGCTTTAAACATGAATATACACTCTTAAAAAAATGCTTGGTTGTTTTAACCCAAATTTGGGTCAAATATGGAGAAAGTCAAACATTGGGTTAAAATGTAGCCTAATAGCTGGGTTTGTCCATATTTGACCCAAATTTTAGTTTAAAACAACCCAGAATTTTTAGTTTGCTGAAACAACCCGATGCTCGTTTTGAAACTCTTTAGTGATTTGTATTTAATAGCTGATGATGCGTTTATTTTTTATCTGGATCACTCAGAAACCTATTATGTAAATGGAGCACAAGTTGCTCTTGTTCAGCATTTATTCTAGAGGTGTTTGTTACTATTGTCAAAAAAAAAACTGAATCTTACGAATAAGGCACCAATAGAAAAATGGACAATCAATAATGGCAGTGGCGAAATGCATTACAGGGTCAATGTACATTTCTGAGTTCATTATCACAGAGGCTGTTGTCACCCTTAAAATGACTTCAGCTGGATTTACAGTGGGTCAAGCTGAGACTTCAGAATGACCTGACAAATATAAAATCAATTCTGCTGCACCTTACAGAATGAACGAGGGTTTACAGCAGAAACTGTAAAAGGGAATTGCCAGAGGTTGTCTGACCGCTTTATATCATCTGACACCTGTTGAAAAACACCTTGTAGTAAAGGCTGCACACACACATACTGTAAACCTTTGTAAGTCTGTAAATCAATATAGCGAAGAACATTAATGTGCGTGTGTGTGGAATCACTGACCCTTGGATAGTTCTCACTTATGTTGTGTTTAAAGGTTCAATTGAAAGCGATGAGTTGCCATCTACAGTTCACATACACTGATTGAGACGAGCGAGAGGAACTTGTGTTTCATTCAGATAAACTACTGTACTAGAAGTGCACGGTAATGTTGTGGCAAATATGCACGAACAAAAAAAAATCATTTTGAAAATATTTTATTTGAGTAGACAACACGGACGCACATATAAAGCGATAGGTAGCAAACATTTAGGAAAATAAGCTGTATACGTAGAAAAAGATTGCATCTATAAGAGCTTCACGTTTCAAGGGAGCGCACAAAACCCAAGACAAGATGATCTCGACACAACGATTATTAGACTGCAAAAAAAAATCACATCACAATAAATTATACAAAGCCATTGAAAATAAATAAATACATAAATAAATAAAATATTACGAATAAACATATTACAATAATTTTACATCATGATAAGTAAGTGTGTGCCGACATTCAAAAAACAATCATTACACTGAAGAGTTCTTAAGGCAGTAGTTTGATGTATTTCTCTAAAGGCATTTCTGGCTACTAAAGGGAAACTTCAAGATTGGTTGTAGTTGTTTTGAGTACGAAGAAAGAGAAAGAGAGAGAGAACATTTTCAGTCCTGTAATTCACACACTAGATTAAAGCTACAGACGCGAAACGCACAGCATGTGAATTCAAGGCAGAGGTACATGAACATATCTTAGGTCTAGGAGCTATTACATTACCATGTGTGCAAGGTTCTAGAAAAATACCTTTGTAAGGACCAAACTAATACTTTTCTCCAGACTTTTCTAGTTGAATTGGGATTGGATGAAGAAAATAGAGCGTTCTCAAAGGCCAGATCGGAGCGTGTTGTTGTTCTTCAGCAGGCGTTACGCACGGGCACCTGGAGGAGGATGACTTGCCTGTTTTCGGTGGGGTGGCATTTGTTGATGTGCCTGGTGAGACCCGGCGAGCTGTAGAACGTGGCCGGGCAGAACTTGCAGGGAAACGCCTGAGCGTCGTCGTGCAGGAGACGCAGGTGTCGCTCCAGACTCGCCCGGTTGGGAAGCTTCTCTCCGCAGGCCGGACACGTGAGACAGTCCGCGGGGCTTAGATTGAGCGGACCCGGGCTCTGGCTGTCCTCTCTCGGCACCGTGTCTGGGCTCTCTGCGTTGCGAAAAGCCTCTCCGATGATCATTTGATTTTGGAGCGCTTGGTGTCCCAGGACGTGCTTCCTCAAGTACGCCTGGCGCTTGAATCTCTTCCCGCAGTGCTGGCAGTCATAGAGCCCGTCTTCCGAGCCGGATTCTGACAGACCCGGGCTCGGGGAGTCTCGGTCGCTGACCGGGAACTCTGCTCTCAGGTCTTCGGGGAAAGCTTTGACGCCGACGGGGTGGAGGGATTGTTTGGGCGCGCTCGGGACGCGCGGTTTGTGCCAGCGCCGGTGGGAGGCTAGGTTTGCCGGACAGCTGAACACCTTCTCGCACTCGGGACACCTGTACTCCACCCGCACTATCCGGGAGCACTTGTGCTGTGCCAAAGAGAACGGGTCCGAGTACTCTTCTTTGCAAAGCTGGCAGATGAACTCTCCCAGGGGCTTGTTGGAGCTGCCCGGGGCCGCTCGGGGCTTCGGGTCCACGGGCCCCTCTTTGATTTTCAGGCCCAGCACCGGGGAAGTCGTTACCTCGTCCTCGAAGTTGAGCTTGCGTATGGCTTTGGGTTTCTTGGCGCTTTTGCCGCTTTTACGCTCGGCTGCGTCAGAGGAAGGTCTCTTAGCGCCGGGTCGGATGGCGGAGGAGTGCGCGCCGCTCCGGTTACTGTTGCTGGTGCCGATTTTCAAGTCGACCGGCGCGAACAGAAGGTGATGGTCTAGGCTGGTGAGAGAGGCGGCAGTTGGGAAGGATTCGGCTGACACGGGCGAGCCGAGATTGAGACTCCTCTCGAAATATTTCCTGTCGTGCTCCTTGCTGATGGGCCGGGTGGGGCTGTACAGCGCCTGGTACACCGCCTCCGGGTTGCCGAACTGCACCGGCTTGTGGACCGGCACCGGCGCCTCTGCCCCGTCCGACGGGAGCGCAGAGAGGATGCTGTCCGGCTTGGAGGCGCTGGGCGCGGGCGAGTACGAGGCGATCTGCGCGGTCTGACATTCTGGAGCGAACCCTCCATCCTCGTCCGAGCGTATCCGGTACGA